TCTCTCTCTCTCTCTCTCTCTCTCTCTCTCTCTCTCTCTCTCTCTCCCTCTCTCCCTCGCTCTCTCCATATATATATAGGTTTTCTCTCTCTCTCTCTCTCTATCTCTCTAGCTTCTCTCTTATTCTCTCACTCTCTTTCTCTCTCTCTCTCTATCTCTATCTCTCTCTCTGTCCCTCTCTTTCTCTCTCTTTCCCTATCTTCGTCTCTCTCTCTCCCTCTCTCTCTCTCTATTTGACTTCCTCTCTCTCTCCCCCCTCTCCCTCTCACTATATTTCTTCTCTCTCTCTCTCTCTCTTCCTCTCTCTCGCTCTCTCACTATATTGCCTCTCTCTCTCTATATCTATTGCTTCTCTCTTTCTCTCTCTCTCTCTATCTCTCTTTCTCTCACTCACTCTCTCTCTCTCTCTATCTCTCCTTCCTACCTCTATTACTTCTCTCTCTCTCCTCTCTCACTCTTTCTCTATTGCTTCTCTCTCTCTCTCTCTCTCTCTCTCTCTCTCTCTTAATGTTTAGCTAAAAAACTCCTTTTTATTTAGATGAATGTAAATGCAAAAGTTCAGCTCTCTCTCTCTCGCCCTCTCTCTCTCCCTTCCTCTCTCTCTCTCTCTCTCGCCCTCTCTTGCTTCTCTCTCTCTCTCTCTCTCTCTCTCTCTCTCTCACTCACTCTATTGCTTCTCTCTCACTCTGTTTGGTCATCCAATTTATAGTTTGAACTTTTCAAAGGCACTTAGGTCTTCAATTTGGACTCCATGTGGGCTCGGATTGAGTCGAATTTGTTGACATTGGGTTCGTCTTTTTGAGACGTTCAGTTCAGCTATAAGTTTGATGAGATCGGAGTTCATATGATTCCGAATTTTATTTTTATGATATATCATTCTTATAAGTCAAAATCTCTATTCTAATTTAGTTAGAGAAATTTATTGAAATATAAATGCAAAAAACCCATAGTAGTCATAAGCAACAAACTGTAAATGCATGCTGCATTAAAAAAAATAAAAAATAATTCAAGTATTTCGCTAAATAAATATAAGATGAAAAATAAATGAGTACTATTATTGCAATTTCACTAAATAAATATAAGATGAAAAATAAATGAGTACTATTATTGCAATTTCAAAACATGCTTTACCAAAGTTAAGTTGATATAGGCTTTCTATGCAGTATATAGAAATATAGAATGAAAAAGCCATTATAGCCAATTTGTGTAACAGTAAAGGAGTTCGATCATTTTACTTGGATGTCGTGACACGTGTTATTAGGGCGTATGTAGTTTTGCCAGTTTTATTAGATGGTTCGCTCATCTCTGATTATCTGCGTGAGTTCATGCCGACTAGCTGGAATTCATACTGGTGTTTTGGGTTAGGTGCAGGATTTTGTTGGATAAAGTGGACTATGATTGTTTTGGACTCATCCTATTTTCTCTCCTTGTACAGTCCGACCGATTCAACCGTGTGAATTGGTCACAACACCGATCCAATTCATTCTAAAAATTGCTTCTACATCAAATTAGATTGAACAGGTCAAATTCGTCAGTTTAACCAGCAAATCGGTGAACCGCCCTTAGTTCTTTTGAACCAGTCAGTTCAATTATCATATTTTTTAAATAATTAAATAAATAATTTGATATATTAAAAATTAAATATTAAACCATTTTCTTAAATAAACAAGTTATATTATATTAAAATATTTAATTTATTATATTTATTCTCCTTTAATCAACATGAAGCACCCTCACATGACCCCACAACTTTATGTGAGCTTTTAACATAAGAAAACTCAAAAAATTATTATATCAAGAAAAAAATTTAACTAAAAGGAGAGTTGATGTGTTTATGAGGTCATAAAATATATAATGTTCATAAAATATATTTTTAAATCAATTTTTAATTAATTATTTATAGTGTGAACAATATTTATTTATTAGTTAATAACAATAATTTATTTAGGACTTCCGCCCGTCATCATTAGACAATCGCCGGCCATTGTCGGACCATCATCTGGCCACCGACAAATTGTTTGAGCTGATCTCTGCAAGACTTCTACCTGACAATCATCGGACCACCGCCTATCCGTCGATCACCACCATACCTCCGCCCGAATGTCGATCTTCATTGAACCTCCACTCGGCTACCATTGACACACACTTTGGCCACCATCACTCATCAATTACGGTGCCTCCAACCTTCTATGGCCCATCGACTAAAGTCCCTTCAACTTTTGTTGCTGGCCAATTATGGTCCCTCCGACCACCATCACCTGCCGACTACAGTTTCCTCCGACAATTGTCTCCCACCAACCATGATCGCTCCAATCTTCGTCACCTACCGACAACAGTCCCTGAGACAGCCGACACCCGCCAACTACAGTCCCTCCGACCACCATCGCCAGCCAACTATGGTCCCTCCGACCACCATTGCCCCCCGACTACTATCCCACCGGCTATGGTTCCTCCGACCACCTTTTCCCGCTAACTACGATCCCTATGAACATTGTCTCCCATCGACAACGATCTTTCCATCCACCATTGCCTCCGACTAAGGCCCACTGACTATGGCCCCTTTGACCTTTGTTGCCCAATGACTGAAGTTCCTCCAACTACCATTGCCCGATGACTTTAGTCCCTTTGACTTTCGTCATCCGACTACAATCCCTTTGACTTTAGTGGCCCGATGACTACGATCCCTTCGACCATCGCGGCCTGACAACTTCAATCCCTCCGACCACCATTGCCCGACAACTTAAATTCCTCGACCACGGTCGACCAACTATGGTCTAACCAAATGGTCTGACCAACCAAACGAACAAGGCAACACTCTCTTGAGAACAACTCTCATATCACTTGTCCTCCAATTTCCAATATGTAATGTGCTCTATATGATGTATATTTGAGGCATCAAGCCAATGCCTTCCCCCAAAGGAATGGCCTTATTTATAATCACAATAAACGCTCGTGAAATCTTTTTCCCTGTGCCATGCACCATAGTTTTCCCCTTTTTTGAATTTTCCATGTAAAAATCATGATGTCTTTTATGTCTCTTACACCCCTCTCTATTATATGTTTGTGCTGGATATTCATACAAAGTTTGAACGCTAAACTCTATATCTCTCTACCGCCGCGAATGTTCCATGACATAATAGTTACATTTATTTCAACAATAAGTTTACTAAATCAAAGCTTAGGTGGCGCTTAATTTAATTTTAAATATTTCCAACTTAAAAATTGCTCGAGATTTATGCTTAATTGATTGATTTTTTGGTGCAGTGTTAAGGCTTTATAAAGTTATTTGTTAATGCGATGACTACATGGAAATTTATTTACTACCAATTCATTTCTGAGTATATTTATTGACTTGTTTAAGTACTTATCTGGTTAATTTATACAAAACAAATATAGTTTAAGCTCGAGCAAATATGATTCAAAACAAACCAAGAATGAACAGATTTGTGAAAGCATATTAGAGGAGCATGCCGCTCATTGTATATCAACTAGAAGTACTTGTGAGCATCTCTATAGCATCTCATGTTGGTATGTAATTAACGTTTGAGCATCATATTAATCATTTCTTTTTCATATTCATTTAATGAATGTATTGGTTTTGCCATTCATTGCTTTATATGTGTGACTCATCACCCTTTTTGGTCAAGGTTGGTGTGTTAGGTTGCCAATGTAATTTGACCTTAAGCCTTTTTGCTGCGCCAGAAATTCTTCGGGAAGGCATGGAGGTCTTAGTGAACTGGTGCGTCAATAAGAATGTGGGTCAGGAGAGAAAAGTCTTGTGAGCTATTGACTTAGATCTCATTAAAATTAGCCACTCAAAAATCAAAATAATTAAAAGATAACGGCTTTGCTTAAGAGGACTTTCATACTGTTTTATAAAGCAACTTTTTTTTAGTATAAAAATTAAAATTTTTATATTAAATAGCTACTTTAAAAAACAGTAAGAAAGTCGTCACAAATAAAGTCAACATCTCCTCCCCTAACCATCTCATTCCGACATCACCCAATCCTATCACCCTTCATCCTTAGTCTCATCATGCTTCACAAGATGCTGGTTGTCAGTCATATCGCCCTTCATAACCGTCAGTCAATATAGATTTGATTACCCTAATCTCTCATTGCAACTTTCTTAGTCATGTTCATGCCTCCTAGGCCTAGCGTGTCGCTTGTGCTGTGCGTTCACAGAGCCAACTACCACCTCTGTCAAATTCAGTGCATCACCACCTACAGGCATTGGACCGGCGAAGGCCGTCCACCTCTTTCCTTTTTATGTGGGCCTATGTACAACAAGATCCGCTAACTTCCTTAATGGACGAATAGATGTGCAAATAGTGAAGTTTATGTATAAATTGAAAATCATACAATTTAAATAGGTTTTAATTAATTTCTAGTGTATATTTGGTGGGCAAGTGGAACAAAAAGAAGCCGTTCAGCAGTTGGGTCTTGTAGGGGATACTCAGTCATCTGGTTGTTCAGACTTCGGACTGTCACGTTACTTATCTACTTCATTTGGCTTGAAGGGAAGTTTAGGTGGGCAAACTTTTTTACAATTCTATATATATTTATATGATTATTTACAAATCAAAACTTATTTAAAAAGATATAATTAGTTTTTATTTAACGAAAATTACACATTGAATATAAATTTTTGTGTTACAAATCTTTGTTAAGTTTGGATATATATTCTTATGCAAAATGTATCGGAATGAGCTTCAAAAAATTTTAATTCACACTAAAATTATTGTTATATATTATATTTTGAATTGTATTTTTCTGAATATAAATTCAAGAATTTTGAAGTTCATTAATGATAAATTTGCATAATAATATTATGCTAAAATATTTTAATATAAATTGTATTAAAATATATTTAAATTTTTTTAAATTTATTTTTAAATTAGTATTATAACTTTTTTTCAGATAAAACTAATTTTAAATAAATTGAATACTATTGAAATTCACAATAAATTGACACAATTTTGTTTTTCTTTTCTAAGGTCAATATGTCTCTTATAAAACTCCATTTACTCTCCATCCTCTGCTCTTTGCTTGTTCAGTAGCACTAGTGAAAAGCTCATGGCCTCCTGGTCTTTCTACTTCTTCCTCTGCTATCTTCTTCTCTCTACTCTCTCAATATCATCAGTGCTTACCCCCAATCCTGGCGGCGGCTGCTTCATTAAAGCCATATACAGCTTTGGCGACTCCATTGCGGACACTGGAAACCTTGTCCGAATGGGCCCAAGTGGTCTCTTCAATCCCGTTGGGTACTTTCCCTATGGAGTTAGCTTGAAGAAAAAACCCACTGGCCGATGCTCTGACGGCCTCCTTATAATCGACTATCTCGGTGAGGCTTTCCAACTCTTAACAAATTTTTTTTTTTTAGAATAGTTGTTAAGAACTACTCGCTACTAATTAAAAAATTAATATGACAGCATTATTTCATAATGATTATATGATGGATCTTAGAGCAGTTGGATTTACTTTGTGATGAATGTAATACAAAATTTGAATACTTTTCCTTTTCAATGTATTATATTCATTTAAAGGCACATTCAACAAATTTGAAGCTGGTTTGTCCAAGAGTTTTTCTGGTATATATTGAGGCGCCTATGGATGTTTTCTCAAGTTGTGGACGTTAGCTTTGGCCCCAAGAAAAAAGAAAAAATTGCTAAACTGATTTAGGCTCCATTTTGGACGGTTTTCTTATTGCTTCTTAAAGTAGCCTCCTAGTAAGAAGCAGTAAGAAAGTCGTACCAAACAAAACTTTAGAGTTTAACATTTTTCATTTTTTTTGTTTTATGGATAACAATCATAATTTTATTTGGCTACAAATTTTTGTACTATTTTTTGAAAATTTTTGTGATGAAGAGAAGCATTTTATAACTAGATTTGCTAGATTGACATAACTAGCTTTAAGCTTTTTCAGAATATTACAAATTTATAATACTCATGCTAGTTCTCAATAAATTTTATTTTCTTACAATAGTCCTACAACTAATTTTACAAATAGCTGTAGCTACCCCAAACTCTTTAGTCGCTGGTTAATTTTCATGTTAAGATCACCATGGGGGTTGGACGTGGGCGAAGTAGCCTCCCTCTTACTGATTTTGGATAGAACCTTGTATTTATTGTCTGCGAGTTATTTTATTCAAGACTTACAAAAATTTTAATTGTATTTTCCATTTCCCTAATTCTTTTTTATAAAGAGGGAGATGATGTATCAGAAGAACTAGTATTTTAATTCTATACAATTAAATCACAATGATATCTATATAAGTGGAAACAAGAGTTGAATCTTTCTATAATATTTATTTTTAAGCATTAATTTTTTTTATTTTTACTCGTTTTATTAGTTATGTGGGGAATCTGATTGGGTTGATCAATTTGGTTGTATTGTTGACTTGGATCTAAATACTGTTGATCGAGCTCATTAACGGGATAAGGGGGCACTCTCCTGCTATTTAGGGTTCGGTGGCCTTGCCCCCATAATTTTCTTTTCCGTGTAATAGTATAGCACTGCAGCACAGTATACTCGAGCACTGCGGCGCTGCAATCTATGGTTGGAGATAGATAAAAGTGCGCTATGGTGTTGTAAATAGTAGCGTCATGATACTGAGGGTAATTTCAGAATTAGAGAGTGACTGTCACAATGCTCCATACCTCAAAGCTGTGAGTCTAGTTGAGCAGTTTTATTTCTCATTTTTCATGCAGCACTTGAAGGGCATCCTTTAAAATATTGAAAAACGTCTCTTTGTCTATTTTGAGTGATGAACGAAAAGAGCAAGGAGGGACAAGAAAAGAGTGTGGGAGAAGAGAGATATGTAGAATCTCTCTCATTTTCATAATGAATTTCTTGGTGTGGTGTGGCTCTGTAATTTTTTTTCCAATTTTGAATTTTTCCATGTTAAATCCTAGTGCTTATTTCTGTTGTTTTCTTTGTTTTGTTGTTTACTTCCCAACACTTTTTTCGCTCTGATGTTTGAAATAAGTTTGCCTATTTCCCAACATTTGTTAATGTCAGCTATTGCTCTAAATCTTTCGCTGATCAACCCTTACTTGGACAAGAAAGCAAAATTCGATAATGGAGTCAATTTTGCTGTTGCTGGAGCTACAGCTCTTGATGAGTCCTTCTTCATTTCGAGCGATGTCGTTATGCCGTATGCTGCTAGTTCTATTGGAGCTCAGCTAGCCTGGTTTAAGACCCATCTTAGCTCCGTTTGTTCAACAAGAGAAGGTATTTGATCTTTTTTGCAGAAATTAGCTTAGTAAATTCAATTTAAATTTGGTGTTCACAGTATTTTGCCCTTAACTGAGAAATCTTTCAGAGTGTAGTAAAAAGCTTGAGAGGACTCTCTTCTTGCTTGGAGAAATTGGAGGAAATGACTATAGCTTTGCATTCTATCAAGGGAAATCAATAGAGGATGTTGCAACTTTTGTTCCACAAGTCATCCAAAAAATAGTAGATTCAGTAAAGGTAATTAGACAGGTTCTTAATTACGATCAATTAAAAAATCCAAAATAGGAGAATTTTTTATTGTAACATCCAAACTTTTATTAAATTCTCAATATATTGATTGTGGCATACATAAATTTATTAGTTCATTCTTTTATCAAGATGTTCGGTATGTAAATAAGAAAGATTTGACTGGCTACTAGCTTGGATGTCATTTCCCCAAAATATTTTCACTTAATTCCTCCACCAAACAAAATGAATGAAAATTAATTTCAATTTAATTTCTTTGCAATTTTCATTTCCATTCCCTCGTTTTTAATTCCATCAAATTACAGACTTTTTATGAAGAAATAATTGGAATCAATACTTCGCAGAGAAAGATTCATTTCTCTTAAAGCTCTTGATAAAATTATTCCCTTTTGGAGTTGTTTGGTTGCAAGGTTTATTCATGATTCAGGTTAAATCTTATAAAAAAAATTAAAGTTAAATACTTTTTCTTCTTCATTTAAATCCTAAATTTTGAGGATATTTGTCAAACATTTTATTATGATTTAACTAAATTTTTTTGGCTATATTTTGTGACAGAAAGTGATTGAAGCTGGAGCCATTCATATTATTGTGCCTGGAAATTTTCCAATAGGATGCTTTCCAAGCAATTTAGAAATTTATAAAGACAAAGCTTCCAGAGTTTATGATAGTAACAACTGCATTAAGGATCTGAACGCATTTTCAAAGCTCCACAACAAAAAACTGCAAGAGGCACTTCAAAGCTTGGGACAGTCTTATCCTCAAGTCAGCATTATGTATTCTGATTACTATGAAGCTTTCATGACCCTCATTGATAATGCTTCCAGTCTTGGTAAGTTGAAGCAGTTCTTATTTAATCATCATCTAATGCATTATTATTTCAAAAAGAAATGTTTTAAGAAAATGATTATTTCATTTCTAACTGAATTTTAGCTTGAAAGTGCAATCACTATGTTAGCTATGAGACAGTTTTAGGAGATTTGAAGAGTTTGAAATCAAAGCTAGTGTTTAACAACATCTAATCACATAATAGAGATAATGAACTTCATAGTTTTTCACATCAATAGACTAAATTTGATCAATAAAAGGCTTTGAACATTGCTCTTTGATGCTCAAATCCAACCAAAGCATAAAGTTGTTTATATTCAGTGTAATTTTGATATTTAATATTTTTGACAGGCTTTGAAGAAAGCTCATTATTGAAATCCTGCTGTGGTGGAGGTGGGCTATACAATTTTGACATCAATATGATTTGTGGAATGCCGGGTACATGGCCTTGCTCTGATCCTGCAAAGTATATAAGCTGGGATGGCATTCATTTGACACAACAAGCTTACAAGATTATGGCACAGAATTTGATTCAGAAATTTATCTACCCATTGGCTAGAGCCCAAGAGATATGGAAGTGTTAAAAGCTCTCAGACAGTTATTTGATTTGCTTAAAGATAAGTATATTATTTAAGAAAACAGTGAAATTTTGTATTGTGTTCATCTTAAAATAAATTTAATGATTTTGAGAGCTATTTTGGTGTAAATTTGATCAAAATATCCTGAACTTCTCTATTTTCTTTTGTTGAAACTAAAATAACCATGAGCTCTGTTTACTGCCAAGAAATCAAATGAAAAAAAGATGGCATTTGTTTATTTACTTTTGCTTTCTTCATAGATCTACTCTATCTTTTTATTCAAAACTTCTATGTTAGAGTTATTTTAAAATTCTACCTGATATATCTACAAAAAATTGAGCACGAATCTTCAAGCAAATTTTTGAATTGGAAGCTGCTTGAATTAAATTCATGACTATATGAATTCCAATTTCAGCAAACTTATAGTTGGTCTGAATGTCTCCATGAGAGGAATCCAGTGATAAAGCATGCACATAAAACATTCTCAGACACATACGGAAGGATTCAAATGCAGAATTGTAATGTATTTTCTTGAATTTGTTCGGATTAGAATGGGTTGAATGACAATATTAACTTTCCAGGTATTGAAGATAGGGTCTCTGTTCATTAAAAATTTTCAGAAGGTTTAGGATTATCCAAAAATCTTTAAAGGTAAATGCCGCATAAGAAACACGTTTTCGTAAAATCTCAAAAGTTAAAAGCCTTAAAAGGTATATACACTTAAAATCTTAGAGGGCATAAGCCTTAGGGCATCTCCAACCGAACGCCAAACG